TTGCTTTCGTTGTTCGCTGCTGGCATGGCGCAAGGCTAGAGGAACTGGGTTAGCGACAAAAAATAAAGGGTCGTCTCGCAATAATTTATCTCGAGCGATGCACGGCGACCAGCGCTGACAGCTTACCCACCCCGAACTTGTGACTGTAACCCTCCCTTTTTTAGTAATGTAAATGCATTCATTCGTTTTGATAAAAGCCTTTGTACTGTACCTAGACTTAATTGGTCTCTTACAATTATTCCACTATTTGGGATACAGATTTGCGGCACTAGTCTACATAAGCGAACTAGCTACACAGGAACGTAAACATATTAAGTAAGCACTTTCAACTGACCTAAGTCTTTTCCGAAGGAAGGAGCTCCATTTAAGGGCAGGGTACGAACGACCGGAAACGACGAGAAAGCGCAAGCTAACCATTCTCAAATGTCCCTGTCAGACAAATACAACCTCGGAATAATGAAAGATATGCGATGAACAGTCATTGTAATGGAATTATTATTGTGGCATAGAGCGTTTGATCAGAGAAACAGATCAGCACGTTCAGAAGTCTGTAGTAACTCTTTCTGGTGATCGCTTGAGGCTTTTTTATTCTGACCACTCTGAAGAAGGAAGATTTGTACCGAGAAGAAAGAAAAATTATTAAAATTTTCAAGAAAGACACCTGCCGCAAGACTGTTAATTATCATGAAAAATCCGGCAGTCATCAATTGGCCAGCCGCGTGCGAGGTGCTCAACAAGCCGCCGCACATCCAAACGGCCCAAGTAATGCAACCTATTCACTGTCTAGAATTGTTTGCTCAACCACGTTCGAGCTGGCCTTCTCCTGTCAGTGTGATGTTGTTGAAAACTATATCTAATTAGAATTAGTGGCCTCGCTGCTCAAGCTAGGCCCAATAATGTTGAGGAAAGGTAGGTATGCAGAACAGTGCCCTCAACTACAGATGCCTGCGCAAGGGATTTTACAGTGCTGAAGCTGTAGGCCATATACACAACCCAGAATATCATTAAACTAAAGGCCCAGCATGAGTACCAGCTTTAGTAGAACGCACAAGTAGTTATGGCGTCACTTGGGTAACATACGCTTGAATATCTATATCCTAACATTGAGCCCGCGTAACGATGTCAATGCGGTAGCATTGAAATACTTGGCCGTGATTTACGCAGGCAGTTGCTGCTTATCCAGAACTTCTTCTCACAGTTAGACCGTGTAATCCATTGCTGCTATGTGGTATCCTTTGCAGATTTCTGTGATATCTCGGGTAGGCCTGTGTTACGCTGAGGTACCTGCGAATGGTTTCAGCGCAAGCGCCACATAACATACTGTTGGCTGTACAAACTCAGAAAATTATAGGAGATCTTTTCAATTACTTAAACTGCCCTTTATCACTTTAGTGTCATCATAAGATACATCAGACGACAACATACCCATATTGATCTAAGACTAATCAATCTTGTCTCGTTAGCACGACGAAGGTAACCGCTGGCTACATAGTCTGGCGTTCGTACACGCACCACACAGTTGCGTCTGTTTCGTGCAACAAACCAGGTCCCACTAAATACAATGTTGTGGAACAGGCTATCCCTATGTGTAGGTACGATGAGGTGTCGATCAAAATGCTTTCAGGTTCTTCTCGTGGCCTCATCGTGGATAAGGATATTGCTTGCTTGCAGCTAGTCCATAACTGCTCGGACTTTTGAAGAAAGATCGAACTACTGCAGGTGAATATAATCGAACACTAAGAAAATGTGAAACGGTGAAGCTGTATAGAAAGGTAGCCTCAAATCGTTGTAACATAGATCCAATTATTAGATTGCAGATTAGATTGCGAAAAAAATGAGTCGGCATCTTGTTTAGAAGAATATCACGAAGATAACGCAATGCATCGGGTACCTATATACTGCATGTCCTATACGTGCATTACAGCTAGAGAGATTTATCATTCATAATCTTAATTCTAGACCAGCGAGTACGCCATAACAGGAATTGGTTCCGGATTTTTTTCGGCATTTCTTTTAAAAGCGATCCCCTTTGGTTTAAAATGCCTGTTGCTATAATTACAACCTCCCACCCTTAAAAGTCCACTGCCCACGAAAAAGTGAAGGTTAGTTTAAATATACTGCATGTGATCCGGATCATTCAGGCACGTTGTCCTTTATTTTTCTATATACAGCTCATTTCTGCCATCTGCTTTTCGAAAGACATTGAAAATCTGAGTGATAGGTTTACATAACTGGAAAAGCTATTAGAAAGCTGAGCAAAGTAAGGCACGTATGAAACAAGTAGGTTAGATACGTCTAAACAAAGCAGGGGTTCTGTTAGAAGTGCAAATATGCCCTGTACTCGTGCGCAAGTAATTTGAACAAAATAGTTTGTAATCCTAAGCGACTTAATAGACTCTCTAGGTAAAATATTTCCATGGGAAAATCTCACACTGGTGTGAAAAGCCTGGGTTAATCTACCCATAACGTTATTTACCTTTTACATTGAAATATCTCGTTTAATGAATGATATTTGAATTTGTATCTTGACCATCACAATTCGGTGTTTTGCAGATCAAGAAACTCTAAGGGACGGTATCTAGATAATAGCAATATGTATCTCTAAACTGCACTTTAATCTATTTTGGAAATGTTTACAGCTTACACATCTATATAGCTAAACAGCAGGCGAAGCAGCGAAAACAGCAGGAGCGGGTACCTGGAAACGATCAACTACTGGCCACTGAAGCCAAAATGGGGTCTTTCAGTTTGTCGAACTGTTTAATTAGCCAAAAGTTTAAGTAAAGCAGTCTACCGAGGTAAGTAATCACGACCGTTAGGTAGTAGATAAGTTTTTCCTTTCGAATCGAATATCATTAAAAAAATTGTTACATTGTATATATTAAAGCCGTTTGAGAACCAGGCAATAGCCAGAACGGTGACGATAAACAGTTGGAGACGATCTCGAGCGCCTTCGGACAAAGTCAACTTGTACCTAGGCTAATATCAAATAGTTAACATTATACATCATACCTTTGCTAGTTACGGCTACAGCTTGGAGCCTTAACGCGAACAATTGTCCGGGGTGAACATGTTGTTGACTGGATGTTCAGATTTATCTGTTAATCGGTGCTTAGATCGGTCTCCATCCATTGGATATTTCTCTGTCATATCTGCTGCGCTTCGGCGTGAGCTTGAGATAATTAGTTACGAAATGTTGAGTTAAAATATCTCTAAACGGAGTACACCAACTGATATATTTAGCGTTGTATCAATGTCTAACAACTTACGGAGCATATACTTTGACTCTCGTTATGATGCGCACCGAAAGGTCGATGATTTTTTGCGATGTCTCGCAAACAGACTACATACCAAGATAACCGCTTAAAATACCAGCATGACTAGAACCTTAATCGAGTTAAATCGGAAAGGCATGTTCTACTAAAGTATCAAAGCCGGTCAGTGCTCGTCTCATAAACCAAGTTTGACCATTTTTTTTTTTTGTTGAAAGATCTTACAATTTATCCCTTGTTCTATCTTAAATTATGTTGTTGTTGCAATGAAAAAGAAACTTGTGTTTTTTAATTCGTCACTTTAAACCTGGATGGTCGATGCGCGATGCGCCATTTCACAGCAGATATTAACGGTGCCGTGTGCATTACATGTCATTTTGTACACGAAGCCCAATGGGAGCAAATCGGTGGGAAAGAATATTATTACAGTATATTCGAATAGGTTTACTGACTGAAGGAGGCTTGCAGAAAGATCGACGTTGAACAGTGAGAACATTCATAAACAAATTATTAAAAGTACGCCACAGAAGATCATATTTAGACTCGAGCGGGTTTATAGTCTTCCATGGATGAGCGCCCTTACGCGGAGCTCTAACTCCGTGAAGGACACGACATTTAGAGACACTCTGATTCCGTAAGTATAATATAATCACTGTATTTGTCTCGTGTAGATTACACAGAAATATAACTGAATCCGTTGGTAATTATTCCGAAAGCAGTCCCACCTTGAAGAAAATAAACACGAAAGCAAATTACACACATGTAAAAACCAATGCATCATAAAAATAAATATCCTCTATCTTAAATAGTACATTTCATAATACTCTGATTGTGTCACAAGACCAGACAAAGTTTTATAAGTAGCACAATTAATAGCGTATGCGATTGGAAATATGTCACTGGTGGTGACCGGGATTGGCATTGTAGGTCAGATTGACATTGATCTGTAGACAACATTAATCCCAAAAATAACTAAAATCATTATTCGGTTAGCAATAAAGAGCAAATTCCTAAAATTATTATAAACTATCGTCTTGTGTCTTCAATCGCGATGATGGGGAGTTGTTTTCAGATCAAGACCAAGCTAGAATCGTTAAATCATAAGTGAAGACCACGAAGTGTTTCAGTCACAAGTTCACGTCTCTGAACGGTTCGCTTTTATGGACTTTTCCTCCGAATCTTCCTTTAGACATGCTAAGTGTAACCAATACAGGTTAGGCGTCATGGCGGAATCCCGTGCTTTTTAGTTGAACAATGATAAATTTGGAATAAGACATTTCATTATGTTGCTGTTACGCCCTTCAGTATTTATCGATTTCCAGTTCTGCCCCCCTTGCGTGGGGTTTAGCGTGGGTAACAAGCTCTTTTTAGTGAGTCTTAAGTTACGAACAATCGGGCCATTGGATATACCGGATTTGTCGTCGTATCTAAGCTTATTTTCGTACCTATTTCACGTGCAAATTATCACCATCTGTCCGGAATACTCTAGGAAAATACAGAAATGCAACCCAGTCGAATTTAAACTAGAGTGAGTAAACCCGAGGAGCGTTACTCATATCTAGTGGGAGCCGTTTGTTGGAAACGTAAAGTTTATGCTCTATCTTATTTTAAGCGGAGTGCAAAGTGTACCTAACAATCTGGAAAACCTCGTCAAATTAAACATTTTCTATAATAATAACATGGATTTTAATATGAATATCACATTGCTTTATTGATTATCAGCTGGGTACGAAAAATACTCATTACCATGTTTCAATGGTGTATATATATATGTGTTACCGTCATGTTAATTTTTCTCGCCGAAATGAGACTTATCACCGGATTTCGATGGTCACAAAAATGCTTTCTTCTAAGATGAATATTGTCTGTACATATTTAAATGAATACAGTTGATGCAGTGGCCTAGACGACCAAGCTCTTGTCTCAGACCGGAATTGGCAGCTTTAAACTCGATCAGCGACACATCTATATAACACAACTTGTGTAAATAAACTTATTATTACTACTAGCATCAACCTTCCCAGAAGAAGAGCCTAGTCACACTATTTCGAAAAAAAAAAAAGCGTTTGTATTTTGCTTCATTTGCCCTTTACATAAAGTAACATAATACAAAAAATGACTAGTTTCTATAAGTTGCAGATGGGGAGCGAATTGCCATCCAGTTCTCAGGGAGAGGAAGAACAAAAACATTGATCCCCTTCTTCAAAAACCTTTGGGCCAATGCGAACAAGAGAATGGTGCTTTGTAACAAAATCGGACCTGATATGGACATAGTTAGTGCATCGACATTTGTCTACGAACATCAAATGAAGAGATTACAGGTCCTGCCGACTTCTATATTCATAGATGATACAGCCGTTGTATGGCAACCAAAGATCTCCATGAAACTTTCACTATAAATGAACGATTTTCTTTTATCAAATACGTTAGATTCGATTTAGCTACCTAGTTGTGTCCTTTCAATGACTTGATAGCTAGACAGACCGGATCCTCACTCCTAGCCTTTAAATAGCTACGTATACAACTAGTAAACTCTGTCTTTAGTACGAGAAAAACGAAATACGTCTGTAACATTGCGGAGCTTCATGCTAACAGGAAATATTTTGCAATAAGTGAACACCCATGCAATATTCCAGATGATCAATTCAATATAACCTAATACATATCTAAACAAATACAATACTATTAGGGTAGTTTTCCGATCATCCGCTTGCACGAGTATATGGTCGTCAGTTGGGAAGTGACCCTTTATTGAAGTCGGAATGATGACTTCCTCGCCTAATATGTCTGTATTTCAATGATATCTGATGGGATAAAAGCTTTTACTTTCATCAGTTTTAGAGTAAACAGCTACCTGTTTATAGCAAATGTCATAAAGAAAAACATGACTAGTTAATAAACTTACTTTGACTATAATCGAACAAGCTACAATACACTCTAAACCCCGTTCGACAATATGGCGTCCGCGACAGCTTTTTTTCACAGAAGCAAACGGATTATTTAATTTAGCCTACATAAAAATGGTTTTCAGTGATATCACGTATATATATATATATATATATATACGTGATATATATATATATATATATATATATATATATATATATATATATATATATATTCATACCAATGTCGGAAGAAACTGATTTGTATTAAGCACAAGCTCTATTCTTATACACAACAACATGCTTTTGATGCCTGCGATAATGTCACTTCACTGGCAATCTAACCTGTTTCACAGAATCGATGATACTTTATACAAGAGTAGTTTTCACTGATGGATTTCCGGTGTTTCTACATTCTTCTACACACCTATCTGCTTACTATACTTTCAAACATGAACCACTCTTCACGAAGCCTATTTTTTTCGAGCTGCTCGCACACTTACACAAGAACGCACACAAATACACAGCGTAAATATCACTTTGTTGCCGTGTTAACCTTTTAATGCAAAAAAGGAAAAGAATTTTTTTCGCCTGCAGGTGTATGGCTGGTACGGCAATATAGTTTCAAATGTTTTACTTCGTTAATGTACCACTTTCGGAACTAGAATTATACCATTCCTCTTATCCGTCAAGGGGATGGCCAAGATAGACCATTGATACTTCAGTATTGCCATAAACAGCTGATACGGCCGGAAACAGCCTGCACCTGTCAGGCAGACCACGAAATGCGACCCCTAGAAATTCGCAGTTAGCTCGCTCGAACGACAATGTGTGATCCTCGCAGTCCAGGACGACACGAATTCTCTCGCCAACCTGCTCATCGTGCAGAATAGAAGATAAATTGGGAGTACAAAGCTGCTACTTCATCATAGACATTGTCTAAAGTCAACGTTTTTGCCATACAGGAGAATATATTCCGTACTTATATGTCCATAAAACGCCGAGAACAATGAACGATTGTTACTACATGACCTTCTGGAAGGGAACGATTTAATTTTTTATTGCAACACTACCTGATATTTCGGCGGATTACTAAGTGGTGGATATATTCCGTGATTATCTCCATTGTGAAGAAGAACGTTGTCGACAAGATTCCAACCCCACGATTCAGAGTTCGAGCCCAACAGAGCCACGTAACCAGGACACTGGACTGGGGCTTCCTAAGCGGTGTATGTGTAGAATAGAAGCAAATTAAAGTTAAAAAGGACGGCTTACCTAACGTAGGATCCAAACGTTTATGATAATAAAAATTCAGGGCTTTCGTTCTGCACTTCACGTACAAATTCACAAGGCCTTAGATATTCAGTACTATCAACTTAAAGTTTAATACAAATTAGCAATATAGTTTATTCAGCAATTTAAAAAAAATTTATTTCATGCATAGACTGCACTCACATGAAACAACGGTATCCACAGTTATAAAATGTCAGCTTGTCCAGAGCTATATAGTCCTTTGGAGATTTTGAAGAATTCTTAAACTGCTCATTACTGACGCATAAAATTTAGTAAGTGTTTAAACCAAGCCTTAATTGTTTACGATTACAAGTTTATTGAATATAATAATATAACTGTAAATTTAGACGTCCGGATATTGCTTAATGCTGAAAATTAAATATCAGTGGTTTTTCTTAAAAATTACGCGACCGAAGATTAGCGAAAACACTTTTAGCAAAAGTAGACTTTTAGCGAAACAACATTTTGTTATTAACGTAATCGTTTCAGGGACACTGGAAAGTCAATGATGGCATAGGAGGTGATTGCAATCTGAAAACCTAGAATCGAAGTTGCTGTGATTACGGAAGCTCTCAAGCAGAACACCATGCAACATAGGACTTCCCTATGAACGTGTCATGAAATTATAAAGGAATTACTGGAGATCAAAAAGAAATAGTGGATCTTTGTTTCCTCACGAACCGACACTCATGGCGTATACCCTTCGGACAATTATTATTAGCAAACCCGTTACTAGACTCGGCCTAAACGAGTACGTCGTTGCTGTAGAAGACATATGAATTGGTCTGCCCCATCCACAAAGGAAAGGTCAGACCGAAGAACAGCTTCGAAGAAGAACGAAAGTCAATGATTTCAGTCAGTGATAATGCGAAAGTATGGCGATGCGTATCATCAGAATACAGCTGCTGATAAGTTCCCAGAGCGCTAGGGTTTTAATATGTGAACCATAGAGCGCACCGCATATAATATATGCTAAAATATCGTTGTACCTTCTTGTGTTTTCGCATAACCTAATACCTTACATACACTACCATGCACTAATCTGTTAACAAAAAAAGTAAAACGCATCAAAACAACGTGTTACCTTTGTGGACACTCCAATGACGGCGACAGTTCCGAGAGGACCCTCCCACCAAACTTTCCAACAATGGCGACCGTTATTAAAACCTAAAAAAATATTATAAATGTAAGAGAACTTCAGAAAGTATATTTGGCATAGTAATTCAAATCGAACGAATCCAGACATTGCACCCGAACGTACACGTAGTGGCGCTTAGGGTATAACTAAAAGCTTTCTCAGAATATTCAGCGTCGACGAAGTCTTTCTAGTATCCTCAGTAGTACCTATAATTTAGTCTGCTAACGGGTCATGTCAAAGTAGAGCATCGGACGATGATATCGTAAAAAAAGAAAAGGTTACTACTTTTGTTTCTAAAAAAAAGTTAAACTATTCTTTAGGACAGTTGTTGAAGCTGTCATCTCTACAGATGAATTATATTGGTATAATATGTTAAATTTCGTTACGGCTAAACGAATTTGTCGTATTCTCTTTATCTCGTCCGATTTGTCACTAGTATCTCCCATAATATAAGTCAAACTCACCGATCTTTCCCTTTGCGGCATCTGTTGACTGCGCTACAGGATTTCGATGGATCGTGAATCCGTTGGGCTTGACGTAGATATTCCTGGAACACTCAGAAGGATCCCAAGCGTGGAAGAGACTGCGTAGTTTCGATTTGTATGTCGGCACATCCGATAGCATATTTGTAGGCGTTTTAAAATTTTCGGCCGAAAGCCGGCGCATGGCGTGCAACCGCCAGATTTCGCCATTTTCATCGGCTAACAAAGCGTTAAAACGTCGACAAACCAAAGCTACTTGTCGAAGTGAATTGAGATCAAGAAACGTAAAGATATACTCAAGAATCGAACGGGGCAGCGTGAGCAACACCGAACCAGTGGTGCTCGGGGCCACCTTCGGAGGGGCCATCCCTTTTGTGGTGAGTCAGTGCACCCCTTATCGCTGCTGAATAGCTCTACCGAAGTATTCAACTTCTTATTCGGCCGTCAAGGCACGTATTAAGCTTCTTGTAAGGTCTGTCCCGCTGTCGCGTCGTTGAAAACCCTGATGAGGTCCCGTTGTTGAGTGTTCGGAGTATCGTCTGCTATCCAGCGGTAGGTATAATCTCGGACATGCTATTACCTCCTTAACTGGTGACTATTTGCAAACAACGAGAGCCCCGTGCCCTCCACGCTTGGCTAATGGCTTCCCTTTCTCTTTCGCCTCACCCGGTACCCCACAGACAGTGCTCGTTGCTTGAGGCGGGAATTTCATAGTTGCGTTGCTTGAGTGATCTCGAAACTACGATTATGCTTGTGAGTAAGGATATGCAAGAGCGGAAGTAACACGGAAAAGAGAAAGAGTCACAGAAACACAGTGCACGATCACTGTGGATGTCAGTGAGATAGATGCAATCATCGAAAAATCGGCTTAAATTTTTTTTTTCATTATCCAACGGCAGCGTACTGAAGACACAGCAATATAATATCGTGCAAACGTCAGGTTTATATGGAAGGCAAAGTTAGCATAGTAACGGTCAAATTTATTTAAAAAATCATCTACTTATCGATAAAATTAAATGATACTTATCGCATATGATATCACGATGGACGCGCATTGGATCCACTGGGCATATTTTAGGACTGTAAGGGCTTATTATAGGGTCATAATACGAAATCTTAGGATCTTCAATGACTGTAGTGTAGATTATCAATCAGAGTGATAACGTTTTTCTTGGCATGATCACGTCAAACTATTTATGGTCTAATCAATTTATCAAACGCATGTGAAAATGTTTTCCATAATTATTTCTTGATAAGGAAATAACTTTAAAAGCATACTGTCATCACAGAATTGAAGTTCACTAGGGAGAAGTAGCTTATTGGGTTCTTCGATTTCTGCTGAAGTTGCAGCATATTAGTTTTGATGCTTAAAAAAGCGGCAGTTTCCATGCCGTCACTCAGGCTTTTGATAACCAGTTTCGAAGAAAGCTGTTGATAATGAATTATCTCGTTTTCTATGCTAGGGAAATCACGAGGTTTTCTTAGTATAATATTTATTGTTTTTATTTTTAATTATATGTTAAAAGTAATATTTATAAATAGCTGGATTTGTAAATTACTGACCTATGCTAAATAAGCCAGATGTTGTCTCAGAATATATGTAATAATATTTTATAATAAGCTTGTTGTTATGTGTTAAATAAGATGCATCTAGTCAGCAGGTTGCTACAAGAAGCTATTTAGTCTGAAACGTTTCAATTTGATAACTCTATACAGTTACGTTAAACGCGGGAGAGAGGAAAACTAATATCTAAAATAAGAGAAGTTAGTCTATCAACTTTGCCCTCGTCGAGTTTTTTGTATGTACGGAAAATTGGTTTAATGTTGTTATCGTAGGTTTTAAAAGTAATGTCAGAGTCATTTCTGAACATATAAAGCTAGCTAGCTAGATCGCTGCGATCATTTTTACAAGAAATTGTTAAAATAACTTAAAATTCAAGTTAAAATTAACAGTAGATGAGTAATATAGCCTCAAGTCGATTCAACTATAACATTGCTTTTTTGTTGGCGTACAGAAAAAAATTTGCACTTCATCAACAATCTGCTCGTTGTTATCTCGTTTGTCAAATATGCACTCCCTCGATCCTTTCGTCAATCTTTCTTTAATTTTTTTTTCAAAAAAATAAAACGGGCCAGTTAATCAGCTCGGAGCTTTCCATCTTGAGTAACATGCGCGCGTGAATGGGGCTGCACTACGTAATGAAAGCTAGTGAAAACATCCTCAACAACCCATATTTGAAGACTTCGTTGTTCGAGATATATAGGACATTCGGTAAGCAGTGAAAATCTCTGAATCGAATCAACATAAGAGGACATCTTTTATGGCCTAACAACCTACTGAAAAGTACGCACACAATTTTAGACATCTCGAAAAGTTCTTGAGTTATCAGATATTTTTTTTACAAGTTTGTAAAATCTTAACTGTTGTCTTACGTTTAAAATGGGTATTTTGAATTTTACGGCTGCTGGTTATCACTGTAAACGGCTGACTTTTTTTTTAGCTCGAAAGAATGTGCATTTCGGCTCCAAACGAAGTTTTCCTGGCAAACAAACTGCTGGCGCACCATCACAAAGACGCTGCACAGGTGATAAGTATAAGTAAATTAGCCCATTGCTTTGGATACCTATACCGTCACCTAGGTAGGTTAGGAAGGACAATCGTGTCTGATTTCGTCAGAAAAGGAAACTTTCGCTTTATTTCTTTTTTAGGACAGGTTTTCTTCAGGTGAACCGGAATCGCTTTGTTAGCTTGCCGCGTGATTTCGTACTGGGTTGCATTTAGTATGCAATTTTTGTTGCCGGCAATACCGTTAACTACCTCGAACTATGATGTATATAGCCCTTCAGTGCAGGTAAAAGTGCTGGTCGACTCAGTTTATGCTTGGCGTTTTTCAGAATATACTACGAGATGTTGAAACAAAAAATGACATTTACATATGATAGAGAATCGGCTGGATAAATCTTGGTGTCTTGCGCTTCAGGTTGTCGCAGCGTCAGGTCGACGACTCATCAACGAGCCATTTGGTCATGTTCTGGCTCATTCCTTTCCTAATATTCTGCATAGGTGCGTAAGTCTGTATGTATATGAACGTTGCTATTGCTGTATCCGATGATATACTATATTATATATTAGCTTACTCGTCATATGCTGTTGTTCCTGGTATTATCATTATTTCTATATTATATATACACAATA